CCGGTCACATGGACAGCAAGCCACTCCCATACTGTACATGGGCGGCAAGCCACTCTCACAAAGGAGGCCACACCCACAGAGTAGGTTCAAACAATTTTTGAAACCCACCACTGGGTGGGTTGCTGCCGGCGTTACTGCTGGTTTGCTTCTTGTGCATTTTGCCCACCGTGCGTTGCTTGCACATGTACAGTTGCCTGTAAATTGTTCTGTGCATGCACAAAACATTATAAAATGACCAAAAAAACTTGCCGCAACAGCATGGACAACTGAGGAACCAGTATGGAGACCTAATCACAATTTCCACTACCGGTTCGCCTGAATTTTTTCCAATGTTTCCACTTGTGGAGTGGGATGAGGGGTAGGGGGAGAAAAAAGTCAAGCAATTTCTGTAGATAATCTCTTTTTTGCCCAACCCTTTTACAATGTGCCTTAGAACAAAGAGTTTGGAAAGAGATTGCGAGAAGGTAAGCTGTTTGTTCTACACATCAAAAACAAAAATGCATTTGCATTTCCTTTCCATCAGGCATTCTTATTCTCGTCCCAACCTGTACTGCAGTCTTGCTATTACTATACAATGCAATCATACAAGAATCTTGTTCAGAATTTTAGGGTACTTACATCATACATATGTCTTGACTAATTTTAGCATATGAAAACAAGTCTTAACAACAGAATGAGCAGGAAAAGAATAACCAGATGAACTTTCAGAAGAATAATTCAATGAAAAATATAAATGAAAAAACATTCTAAGTAAAATATTGATATATGAATAAGTGTACCTTTAATTTTGAACCAACTAACATGCAATCTGCTTTTCGTACTACCTTTAACCACTGAGAAGCACCAATTAATGAAAATCCTTCCTGAAATAAATGCAAAATTTACATAAAGGTGGAGAAGCTCTGAAAATCAGGGGTAATTTAAATAAAATAATACTGTTCCAATTCTTGGACTTATTAACATATAATTTAGTAATAAATTTAGGAAAATTAGTAATAAGCTCTAAAATAAATAAATACATAAATAAAGTCTGGTGAAATGATATTTTATATCATAAACCAAAAATTATTTTAATATATTTTTTATTATTTACAATGGCCAAAGTGCAGCCTGATCCCTGGGGTGCATGAATGAGGTTTGGTGGGGCCAGCCTCTTCAGAGTAAAGAAACTTAGGGCAGCAGGAAAGGGGGGCTGACCCCAGCAAACCACACATGCCCAGTCCAGGGATCAGGTTCGGAGAAAGCCAGAATGCCCTTGCCAAAGATGCTCACCCATCAGCCAGTTATCCTGTCCACTCCGCACGCTTTCTCTGCGCTTTGGCCGAGCCTGGCCATTCACTTGCAGAGGGCATCCTCGCTTGTACATATGCACACGTGAGACAGAGAGAGAAATGAAAGAGAGTAAAGGGGAGAAAAAGAGAAAGAGAGAAATGAGAACATGATGGAGGGAGAGAATGAGAGGAAAAAGAAAGAAAAACAAATGAGAGGGAGAGAGAGAAGGGAAGGGAGAAAGAAATGAGAAAGAGGGAAATGAGAGAGATGGAAAAGAAAGAGAGGGAAACAAATGAGAAAGAGGAGGGGGAAAGAAGAAAAACAGAAATGAGAGAAATGAAAAACAGAAATGAGAGAAAAAGAGAGAGAAAAGGGGAGAAAGAGAAAGAGAGAAATGAAAAAATGATGGACGGAGAGAATGAGAGAGAGGAAAAAGAGAAATGAGAGAGAGTGGAGGGATAAAATGAGGGAGAGGGAAAAGAGAGGGAAACAAATGAAAGCGAGAAGGGGGAAGAGAGAAAGAAAGAAAGAGGGGGAGGGGAAAATGAGAAAAATAGAAATGAGCGGATGTAGCGGGACAGAGAGAGGGAAAGAGTGAGAGACCCACTTCCCACAGAAAACACCGGGAGCTACAGAACCTAGGAAGGCGTGGAGTGACGTTGAGTTGGTCATGCCCACCCAGGTTTTGTGGCTCCCAGTGTTTTCTTTTCTGTGGGAAATGAGTCCAAATGACTCTGAGTGTTTAAGGTTGCAAATCCCTGCTCTAGGGATCTGATCCCTGCTCACCTTTGATTCACATCTGAAAAGCCAGCATTGTCTGAAGATGTTTCCATGGCTTTGTAGCTGGCATGGTTATACACTGACAGCACACAGAACACTGTTATCTTCCCACCAAACTGATACCTATTTATCTACTTGCATTTAGAGTACATGATTTTGAACTGCTAGGTTGGCAGGAGCTGGGGCAAGTAATGGAATCTTACTCCATCACTGGGTACTTAGGTCTCAAACTGCCAACCTTCCAGTCAACAAGCCCAACATCTTAACTGCTCGGCCACCCCGTTGCTTGTGAAATTTTGTTATAGAATTATGACAGAACTGAGAGATAAATTCTGCCTCATCACTGGATGAACAATTGTGCAACATTTTGTTGACTGGTTCATGAATTAGGGTTTGTATATAAATTCTATTCATATAAGTGCTAACGGTGCCTGGGAACTATGCTGACTTAATTCACTTATCAGTCAAGACTGTTTTAATATTTCTTTCATGAAAAGCATTATACCAATGAGAGAGGATATGTTTAAGAAACAAAAATATATACAAGTTAATATTTCAATAGTTACCAGTACTTCTTTTCCTCTGGAAATGAAGAAATGGCCTGAAACAACTATACTGAGAACAAGAAAGCCAGATTCTTCGTTTGACTCCAAAACCTTTTAGGAAAGAGAATCTTAACATGGCAAAAATATAAAGGAAATGGTTTCCAAAAATAAAGGCATAATTTTTCTTTAAAAATATTGCATACAAAATATGCTTATGTTTGATATCTATTTACAAGAAATAAATATAACCATATTCATCATTAGAAGCAAGGAAATAAGAAATAAGAATGTACTGATTTAACATGCTTAGTTTTATCAGGGTGTAGATAATTTTTTCTGTTCTGTTTTTAGCTAGGATTATTTTCTATGAAATGTCCTCTTTATTTTAATACATTATTTTTTGTAAGCCACTTTGGATATCTTGTTTGGACTAAAAGACGTACTATGTTTTGTTTTGTTTTACAAAGCATGATGCTAGTATTCTGCAATGCTAGATATTTAATCAAACACAGTGGAAAGACAACTAAGCTTAAGAACATAGGAAATATTATGCTGAGTCAAAGAAATAATTGAATTCAGCATTCATTTTTGCACTTCAGACAAAACCAGAGATGCCAGATTAAGGATGCAAATATGATTACTAGAGGACAGATATTGTCTCTTTTTCTTCCATCTAGCAAACACAACCAAATATGGAAGTTGTTGAAAAACATGAAAACTGCATGTTACGATATACTCACAAATATTTATATATTCTAAGGAACAATATATAATTCTGAGCCCTAATGAATCCTTTTTCAAATATTTGCTTCTCGCACAGCTCTTACATTAATTCAGTAACCTATGTAATTTCTCCCTCAAGACACAATAAATTCAGTTTACCTTCCAAGATCCTGAAGCAGTGCCCAAAGCTCCAGGCATAAATCGGCCATAACGCCGCAGTGGCCACTCTGCAGCATTCAAGCAGGAAGTATCCCGTGACTGTTCTGTCATTTGGTCTAAAAGTAACTGGTCGACTTCAGACCATGAGGCTGGATCGCAATTACTTAGTATATGAGCATTATTACTCCCAGTTGCCATTTCAAATTCTTCACAGAAAATCACTTAATCTCTGGAAGTGGAAAATAAGTATGAAAAAAAAAAGATTTAGCCAATAAATCCCACAAACTTTTTTTCCCTATTAATTCAGAACTTTATTTATATAGTTAGGTACATTCTTACAAGAAAATGTAACTATGACGTTGACTAACTCTACTGCACTGAGGCAGAAACCATGATAATTTTATGCATGGATATGTGCAAGTGTCTATATATGAATATATGTTTACTTTCTTCTTATGTGTTATCTATGGCTCTCCCTTTGTACATAATCATTTCAGTCCTCTTTCCATATAAATGCACATATATCCTTCTTGAAATGTAATTGACAAAATTATCACAAGAAAACAATTTGAGAGCAAGAATACTTGCATGATAATTTGCGATTCAAATTCATTATTTTAATAAGATTGGAGTTGTTTAGGATGGGAAGCTTCGCCTAAACACAACTTGCTACCACAATGGGCAATCAGAAATCTATGAGACAGCCATAAACCCATAATATAGCACATGGTCATTACATCCTCCAATAGTTAATGTTCAGAGGCATACTGCCACTGATAACTAATCCAACAAATAACCATTAAGATTAGTGGCTATGACTTATTCACCATAATTTTGAATAGTTCTCTTTTTCTGCACATTTTTGAATGTCTTTGAAAAGTACTAGCCCTTTTGAAATGTTCAGTATCAAGGTGCCATTGTGAATTATAGCAGCGTATAGAAAACTATGAAAGTCCACTATGAGTGAATTTTTGTGAATTTGATGGAAGTCATGTAGGTAAGTTGGGTTGTTCCTTAAAAGGAATTAGTGATTGGTGACAAATACTGTACCTATATTTTTCAATAATTACTATTTGGGTAAGGAAGAATGATCTCTCCATAATTCTTCATTCTATTTGTAGTTAATTATGGAAAATATTGAGGAATAATTTTAAAAAATCCCCTTTGAGAAATCTTCAGTAATAAAGGAACTTGATAAATAGATATATGATAGATAATAGATAATAGATAATAGATAATAGATAATAGATAATAGATAATAGATAGATAGATAGATAGATAGATAGATAGATAGATAGATAGATAGACAGACAGACAGACAGACAGACAGACGGATTACAGACAGACTAGGGTTTCTTTCAACAAAAATAAAATATTAAACAGTATTAAAATGTATTAAAAATGCATCCCAAATATCCATGAGGATTCATGAGCAGTATTGAGAAGCTAGTTTACCCAATATTTTCAAGGATAAATTTGCTTGTTAGGAGCTTTATCTCTGTCAGAAAATTCAGAAAAACTGGTCTAGTAATAATTCCTCAAAATCTGAACTCTGATATAAAATTCGATAGATAGATAGATAGATAGATAGATAGATAGATAGATAGATAGATAGATGATAGATAGATAGATAGATA